AAAAAAAACAGCCACCAACTTCATTACCAGTTCCTAAATCTGTGGAACTCAGGGTCATTAGTTTATCAAGCATGGCAGACAATTTCAATGATGCTTATTTCAGCATTGACCAAATACTCAACGATGAAGGCAACATGGAAGACCAATATGCAAGCAATGAAGGAACTCACAACAATCAACACAGTCAACAACAACAAGAAACAAATGGCAATCCCAGAGCCAAGAAAGAGCTGACTGTATCCCAGAAGAGACAGATTGTTGATGATTTTTTATTACAACATCAGTGTGGGGAAATACCAAGAGGATTTTTAACAAAGCAAGCAATCAAGTTTCAGGTACACAGGTCAACTATTCACAGACTAATCAAAGACATTAAGACACAAATGGCAGTGGGGAATGTGATAGATGTCAGAAGCAAGAAGTTGGGCAAAACTGGACCCAAACCAACAGAATACACAGATGAGTTCCTGCAATCAGCCCCATTGTACAAGAGGGTGACTGAGAGAAGCTATGGAGCAGCTCTCAAAATATCACATGTCACCATCCACAAGTTAAAGAAAAAAGGAAGACTCAGAACACATACAAGCACAAATCGCCCTGCACTGACATCCAACCACAAGATAACAAGACTGAAATGGGTGTTAAGTCATCTACTGCCAGCTGAAGATAATAGGGACCCACAGTTTCTGGATATGCAGCAAGTAGTGCATATTGATGAAAAATGGTTCTACTTGAACCCAGACACCAGGAGGTTCTACCTCCTGCCCAATGAGCCTAACCCATACATGTGCCAACAATCCAAAAGGTTCAAGGTAAAAGCAATGTTTATGGCTGTCATTGGGAAGCCAATTTTTGACCCCCAAGGAAATGTCTTGCATGATGGAAAATATGGAATTTTTCCATTTGTGTATGAAACCACAGCAAAGAAAAAAAGCAAAAACAGGGAGGCAGGTGTTGTGGAAACAAAGGCAATACAAAATGTCAACAAAGAGGCAATCAGGGCAATGTTGCTGGAAAAAGTGATTCCTGGCATCAAACAGAAATGGCCATCCCATCTGTCCAAGGACATATGGATTCAATGGGATAATGCAAGACCCCATCAAATTCCCAGGGATGAGGAATTTAATGCAGCTTGTCAGTCAGATGGTTTCAATATCCAATTCATTTACCAGCCAGCTCAGTCCCCTGACCTTAATGTGCTAGATTTGGGGTTGTTTAATGTCATTCAATCCATACAATACCAATCATTTCCTAAGAACTTAATGGAACTCATTGAGAAAGTGAAAGAGGCTTATGACTTGTTTAATCCTATTTCAAACAAGCATTGTTGGATAACATTGCAATGTTGCATGGAAGAAATACTCAAACATCTTGGGGGGAATCATTTTACCCCTCCACACAAAGGCAAGAAAAGGCTGGAAAGAATAGGCATGTTGCCAGAAATACTACATGTGGACAGGACTTTGGTTCATCAAGCTGTTGATCACCTCAACAGTATGTTCATAGAAATAGGTCAAGGCAATTACAATGATGAAGGAATGGAAGTTGATGCAGACTGACCACAGCAAAGACAAATGAGGAAGGTAACAGTGAGACTGCCACACATAACCAATGAAGATCAAGGAAGCCACTAGGTAGTGTTTATTGGTTTTTATTTTTTAACTTTATTTGTGTTATTGGTTATGTGTATTTTGTTTACATTGAAGGTCAATTAGGTAAGGCAGTCTTGACTAGCTTTTGTTCAACATGTGTAATCTTTTGAAAGACCATATGATATGAAATGTGATGGTATTATGTACAAAAAGCAATGACAGTAGTATTAAACTGTGAAACGTAGGCAGAAACAGTATTTTAAATCCATCAGATGGGTGTTGTTTTTCACATAAAGTGCATAATTGGTTACCTCAACAACAACTTCTAGTTAAAGTTGTTGGAGCAATTCCAATGATGCAATTTTCTTTTTCAAACTGAGTCCCTTCATCACTTGGATTTTTCCTACCTAATAACACTATCAAGGGACTCCTAGATCAGGTAGGACCACACATTTAGGCTACATTGTTCTCTGAATGCACAAAACAGAAGGGACTCAACATCAGGTAACTTATATGCATGCACACATGGTCTGTCAAGTAGGACTCATTTATCACCATTTAAAGTAGGCTACATAGTCATCATCATTCATCAGATCACAAACCCCAAAGCCATTAGTGCCAAATAGGATAACAACCTGAAGGATCCTATCTCACATACACAAGCAACTGGCTACAATAGAGGGACTAATATTGACAACATCATGCAGAGAATACCAACAACAAGACACAGCATACCCAAAAGAAGGACCCAACAGAAGCTGATACAATAGAATAATTCCCAAACTCAAGCTAACAGATTGCCAACATTCAGAATTAATCACATTGTGAAAAAAATGTCACAATTACACTGAAGCCAGAATTTAGTAATCATAAGCTCTCAAAATTAGGATCATCATCCACAAATTACTCACAACAACACCCACAATTAACAACATCAAGCCAGAATTAAGTGTTCACCAAGCCAGAAATAGGATAATCATGCACAAATTACTAACAACCACGCCAACCATTAACAACATCATGCCACAATTTAGTAGTAATTAGCCACAAATTACTATCAACAACACCAACAATTAACAACCACGCCAGAATTTAGTAAAACAAATTAGAAAATAGGATACTCATCCACAAATTAGGAACAACCACGCCCATCATTAACAACATCAAGCCACAATTTAGTAGTAACAAGCCACAAATTAGGATAATCATGCACATAGTACTAACAACGACGGCCACAATTAACAACCCCCCAGAATTTTATACTCATAAACCAGAAATTAACTAAATCATGCACAAATTACTTCCAATCAGCACGAAATAGCAACAAGGGGCTTTTTTTCACAACCAACAACCAATACACAGAATCAACATCATTGAACGAAATACTAGTATAAACTGTAAAGGGTCAGAAAAGAGTTACGCTGCGTGATTAATTAGAAGGAGCGTCATTCACAGCACCATTACCACCATCGCCAACAGGGGACCCAGATCTAGCCCTCTTCTTGCCAGAGACCACTCCAGCAGGCCCAAATCTACCAAGATCTTCTTTGTTTTCCGGGATAAGGGCTACCGAAACACTTTCAGCAATGTCCCTGCTAACCACATCAACAGGACGCTTATTCTTCGAACCCTCATCTTTGTTGGCCAGATCTGCACCCTTAGACCCCTCACCTTCCTCATCAGAGTAGTAAGGCTTAATTTTGGCACCCTCACCGTACATACGGCGCATATCCAGGTAGGTGACCCTTCGAGTTCCAATCAACTTCATCTTCCCAGTACGACGCTAGCATTTGTAGGTCGCAATAACGTCGTCATCTGGCTTCTTCTCATTTGGGGAACTCATTTTTTGGGTTTTTCAGAGAAAATACCGGGTAAACCAGATATGGAGGAATTAGGGTTTGAACGAAGAGAGAGAGAGTGAGGTGAACTAGACAGTCAGAGGGAAATAGCGATTGTGTGGTAAAATAAACAACTGAAGAGCGACAGTGTTGCAATCTGGAATGACTTCCAGATTTAATTCAAAGAACAACCTCATTAATGGAGGTAGGAGGTAGGTGAGGGATCAATTGACTGAGGTGCACAAGAACCAAAGAAAACAATTGAATGACGTGAAATCTGTAATTGATGAGGGTTTGAAGAGCCTTATTAATGGAGGTAGGTGAAAGGACGAACTCAGTGAGGAGAAGATGAAAGGAGGGTGTGATGAATGACTGGGAAGAAAGATCTAGAAGAGGGTTGATTTGGGTGGGAATCATTAGCTTAGATCTTTAGATAATAAGGTTTTTTGATTTTATAAAAAATGAGGTTAGTGTATAATCAGATTTTAATAAGGGTATGATGGTAACTTTACCAATAAAAAAGTTACCTATAAAGGAAAAAAAAAATTTGTTGCAACTAATAGGTAGCACCTATTTATAGTATTTGTTGCAACTAACCGTTAACGGAGGGAGTATAATAATTTTGAAAATTGACAACAGGAAAGTGAAAACACCTTTTTCTTGTTTCCTGTTTTTGGTTTTTGGTTTTCAAAAAAACAGGAAACTGAAAACCAAAAATGATGCCAAACAAGCCCTTAGTTTTTTTTTTTTGTTTTTTTTTTGGTTGAGGGAAAGAAAACGGTAAAAAATAATGTAGACGAAATTTGATACTGGTGCGACGTTGCCAAATGCCAGTAGTCCAAGCCTCCAAGGCTAGGCATCCTAGGCTAGTAGAGGGTCCAAATATAAATGTAACATGATTTTTTTTAAAAAAGAAATACTCTCTCCGTTAATAGTTATGTACAATTTGCAAATATGGAGAGGAAATCAGATTTTTTTTTGGAGGGGATTCTTTTCCCCCCAAAAATTTCACAAAAGTTTTGAATTTGAGAATTTTAAAACGGTCCTGCTATATGCATCCCTAAGGGTTGTACATAAAAATTAGCAAATTCCCATAATTAATGCATATTTACTTATTTCAATGGAATCTAATTAAATATTGTATTAGATTGATAATAAAATTATTAAATGTTGTTTGAATGCTATTAATTGAGTTGTCCTACCATCCCTTCAATAAATATGTCCAACCAACTTTAACTAAAATAAATAATTTTCTCTCCTAAAAATTTTTTTTTTTAAAAAAAAAAAAGTTACTGTACAACTTAAATTGATAATTTCCTCCAAAAAAAAAACCTTAAATTGATAATCATGAAAGCTAATCATCCAAAAGTTACGTGATAAATATGACAAAAGTTGAGCCAAAGAAAACCTTAGATCCTAAACAAATGTCTCACAAATAGTATCTTCCAGGTTTCAAAAAAAAATAAAATAAAAAATAAATAAATAGTATCTTCCATATAACAGTACACCCAAAAAAAAAAAAAAAAAAACGATTTTCTCATAATATCATCAATTCTTGTTTCATCAATCTTCATTCTTCAATCTGCACATTGTATAGATTATGTCAGAAAAAAATAAAAATAAAGATATACATGTTAAACTTTTATATAAAAAAAAGTCAGGAGAACATTACCTAAAATTTCAAAGAAAAGATAGGGTTTAGTCCTAAATCCTCTGCTGTTTTCTTATGCCTTTTATGTGATACAGTAGAATTACCATCATTTGTAGTTTGTGAGGTAAAATATTTTCTTTATAAGGGCATGTAGGTTTTGTATGACCAGGTTGCTTACAAATGGAACAACTCTTAGTCTTCTTTTTTGCTACTTCTTTTCCACCCTTCTCACGTTTCTTTTTGGGACGCCCTTTAGTTTTGGATTGTGGAGGGCACAACACATCACCCATGGATGCATTAATCGTCGGAGTAAGTTCCTCTACGGAAAACATTTCTTCTTGTACAACTTCTTGAGTACTAATATTAGCTTGTAATGCATCTTCTTGAGTACTAGTAGTATCTTGCAATGCATCACAACACCATCGTAGAGGTAGATAGGATAAAGGGATCTTGAAACAATCTTTGTGGAACAACACCCGTAATATATGGCGACAAAGTATACCCCAAAACTCAAAAATTTTACAACTACACATGGCTGTATTTTTTCCATCCCAAAAGACTCTATGAGAGATTTTATCGTCACCTTCATAATATCTCACCGTGAACTCATGACCTTCTACATGAATAATAGAATATAAGGTTGCCCTTGTAAGTTCATCTTGAAACTTTTTGAAAGCAAATGGCGTAAACACTCCAAAAACTTGTTCTTCCAAAGGTGACTTTGTTTTCAAAGAAGTTGGTTTAATTAAGGCATTCAAGCTCAAATGTGCATGTCCTTGAATAATTTCTTCAACACCAATATCCACCTATAATATTTAGCCATAAACAAACAAAAAAACATCATCCATAAATTTTTATAAGTAATTTTTTAAGTGCGAAAATATACGGTAGATACTAGGGAAAAAAAACTGTACAAAATTTATTTAGCAACTAGATACGAGTATAGAATATATTTGAAGAAAATGGATAGAAAACTTTCATTGAACTAATCTAATCAAGTGTACAAGCATATATACAAGAGCCTAACATAATTCTAGGCTACAAAATCGGCAACGATTAATGCCCTTTGACTATACAAGATAAACACAATATATTTAGCAAATATGATACCTAACAAATATTATCAGACTTATATTTAACAAATAATCAAATGTGATACCAAACAAATATCACTATCAGTCAGACTTATATGAGATGAAACGAACCGCTTGATAAACGCGTTTATACTTTCCGATCTTCCGGTAGTTATCATCCCTCCAAAAAAAACTATCACGGAGATAAGCAGGTGCCCGAAAACCTCTTATTTCGTATAGACCTTGAATGTGTTTATTGTCTTCCATGTTATACTTTGCTACCATTAGAGGCCAATGTTGTTCAAACTCTTCGGGATTTGTCATTTTGTATAGCTTGTAAAAGTCACCACACCAAGTTTGGTAGTCATCACGTAAGAGTGCAGCAAACCAACAACTAAATTTTGAAGTGATATGCCAAATACAAAAACTATGTTTTGTGCTTGGCATCTCAATTGTTGTAGCTTCTGACATCCATGGATCTTGGTCGGTTAAGATAGTTTTTGGTACTTTCTTCATAATAGTAACAAAGGTCTAATTCACAAAAAAAAAAAAAAAACAAAATGAAAAATGTTAATAAGGAATTACGTACTGTATATATGAATACATATACTAGATAATTATTATTTTTTGGGTAAAAAAAAATGAAAACAATATTAAAAATATACCTTCATTAACCACTTAAAAGTTGATGTTGTCTCATTACGAAGGAGAGCACACCCAAACAAAATTGTCTTCCCATGATTATCAATACCAACAAATATTCCACAAGGCATGTTATATGAATTAACTTTGTAGGTAGTATCAAAAACCACTACATCACCATACTTTTGGTAGCAATCAAAACTTTGAGCTCGACACCAAAATAGATTTTCCAATTTGTTTTCATTATCAATTGTGTAAGCATATTGAAATAGTGGACTTTCTTGCTTTGCCAACTTCATATGCTCAAAAAGATTTTTTATATCATCCATGTCAAGCTCCCTCTTAACTCTACTAAACAAATTACGAACATCTTTTTCAAGAAAAGATAACTCCCCATGCTTAACATTTTTTTGTAGTTCCATCACTCGAATTATTTGTCTTACCGGCAACCCCGCTTCCTTGTATAATAAAATTTGTTTTTCATCTTCTTTTGTGATAACTCGATTTGCTGCAAGAAAACGCATTTGTTGTGGTGACACCATACCATGGTTATGCTCCTTAACAAATTTTGTTACATTTCATTCCTCTGGAAATATGTCAAAGCACTTCTTCAGAGTAATCCTCACATAGGCTTTGCAACTACATCTTGATGATCCCTTATTTCGTTGAGCTATAGAGGGATTAAATAGCTTTAAACGTTGGTTACCTCCACGATGACATAAAAGATTTTGTCTAATAGTTCTACCATGTTTAGTATCCGAACGATCTTTGCGAGCTACAAAACCCTGTCGTTTTGCATAATTATTATAAAAGACAAATGTCTCTTCTTGACTTGAAAAGGTTTGTCCAATAAAAGGTTCATCATAATCCCTCTGATCTTCCTCATTAAAAGGTTCATTCAAATCAAAATCAAGCATCACTAAAATATGTTCAACAATTCAACCATACCTTTCTTAGATAAAATTAAAATGCACACAAATACTAGGATAAAAATTAGAAATATGAGAAAAGATAAGAAACAGGTTTTTTTTTTTAGGGAAGATAAGAAACATGCTTAACGTTTCATATTTAGATTATGAGAAATAAAAAACATGAGAAAAGATAAAAATAAAAAAAAATAAAAAATAAAAAAAAAATGGGGGAGAAAAAGAATTAATTTAGTCAAAAGTGATAAGAAAACATATATACATACCAGTGGGTTCTTGATGTGCCTTTTGCCCCAAATTAACAGTAACTTTGATAGGATTTATTTGTCAGAAGAAATTTTGATGGAATGTTGATTGATATCCATTAATGGAATTTTATGTTTGACAAGACCATATAATGGAAACTGAAGGGATGCAAAACTTTAATAGAATATGGCGCCAAATTTCCCCCCTTTTTATTAGCCAAAACTTAGTGTTGTTAAATATTTTATTTGGAATCATAAAATTAATTAATTGAGATTTGTATTTATATTATTGGAAATATAAGGGAATCTTATATCTAATTAATGCTTATATGCAGCCCTTAGGGCTGCATATAGCATTTGCCATTTTAAAATTCCCTATAACTTTTTTTATAAAAAAGGAAGCTATTTCCAAGTTTTCTGATTTCATTTCAGCATTTATGAGGCTTATAAATAGCAGCCTCCATCATTCATAAAGCATTCAATGCTTCTCAATAATTACACAACCATGTTTGTTCAAAAGATAGATCAAATCCACCAAAAGTTAGCACTAATTACTTACGTTTAGCCCACATAAAACCCAAAAAAATACTCCTAATCTAAAATTAATGCTACACAAAATTAGTCTTCATATCATCATTACATCATCTTGAGGGCAGCATCATCTCATCAAAATAAAAGGAGCCCAAAAAATATTTAGTTGCACATAACTATTAACGGAGGTAGTACAACTCTATACTCTATGTGTGTTTTAATAAGTGTTATACTTTGACCGGTATATAGTTTAGGTAATTTAATTGAATTCAATAAAATAAAAGGAGCCCTTTCCCTATATAATGTTGGGAAATTATCTAATCCCCAAATTACAGCTAATCTTTTTTTAATTCCCACCGTATCGTTCACGTCACCAGTTCAGGGGAATTTTTTTTTAAAACAGGTTCATTAGAAAACCGCTACTTCAAGTAGCGGTGTGCTACTAAAAACCGCTACTTCAAATAGCGGTTTACTTATTAGAAATCGCTACTTGAAGTGGCAGTTTGTCTTTACTAAGAGCAACTCCAATGGCAAGCTAATTGTCAAATTAGTTTGCCATGCCACCTAAGATTGCAAAGTTATTATTCTTGCTAGCTAATTCATACCACAATGGTTAGGCTAATTAATATTTAGATTTTTCAGCTTTATTTTTTAAATAATTAGTATTTTATTAGAGAAAATTAATTTCTAAGCTATTTAGCTTAGCTAAGCTAATTTGCTTGGCATTAGCTTGTCCAAGATAATTATTAAATATACTCCAATGGTTGGGCTATTAGCTTGAAAATTATAAAATTGCAAGCTAGTCCTTGAAAGCAACCATTGGAGTTGCTCTAAATATTTTTTTTTAACAAAATCACTTTCCCCTTTTCCCTTGTAAAATAATCTAACAAAATTATAACCGCCACTTCAAGTAGCGGTTTATTCTCTTAACACCGCTACTTGAAGAAGCGGTTTGTTGCTAGACCGAGAAAAAAAATCGGTTTGTTTTCCTTAGCGGGTGTGGACGGTACGATGGAAATTAAGAAAAGATCGGTTGTAATTTGGGAATTGCGTGTTTTTCTAACGTTATTTGGGGAAAGGGCTCAAATAAAAAGGTAAGTAGGGTAGTTGGAGTATTAAAAAATTATAAAAGAAAAATATTGGGGTTAATAGTTTATTGAAAAATAATGAATGTAAGAGGATAGATATAAAAAAAAAATAGTAGTGAGTTTTGGTAGGGACCACGAGAGGAGAGAAATATAATATTTAAATGTAGCATTTCGCCAAAAAAAGAAAGTGTCACATTTATTAAAACACGGTCGGATTTGATAAGTGTAACTCTTATTAAAACACAGAGAGTATTATTTTTAGAAAATTTTGACTCGTAACATAAAAAAATAAAAAAAAAATTTAAAAAAAAATAATTGTAACACCACAAAAAACAAAAATTTGATTATAACACCACAAAAAAAAAAAAAAAAAAAAGGATTTCACCACCACTTAACTAGAAAGACTTTCGTGGACTTGGTGCACAATAATATTATTCTGGACCCGAAATTTATACACACGCAACGAATATTATATTGAACATAGTGACCCTTATTTTTAACATAGTACTCCCTTTGTGTTTATTTAAGTGTTACACTTTGATCGGCACATCGTTTTAGGCAATTTAATTGACTTAAATAAAATAAAAGGTTAGTGGGGTAGTTGGAGTATTAAAAAATTGTAAAAGAAAGATAGTGGGGTTAATAGTTTATTGAAAAGTTTTGAATGTGTGAGGAAAGATATAATAAAAAAAAAGTAGTAGTGGGTTTGGGTAGGGAACTAGGGACCATGAGAAGTGAGAGATATAATATTTTAATGTAGCTTTTTTGCCAAAAAAAAGGAAGTGTAACACTTAAAAAAACACGGCCGGAAATGGGAAGTGTAACACTTAAAAAAATATGGAGGGAGTAACCTTTATTAAAACTTGTTTAACGTTTAATATTATTGTGAACTTGAATACGTACGACATTATGACTCTAAATTTTACATAGTGACCTTTATTATTCATATTAACCCGTATATAAAATATTTCATTAAAAAAAAACCTCTTATAGCCTATATATTACCAAAATTACTTTTATTTCAACATAGTGACCTTATTTTTTATTAAAGTGACATTTTTTTTTATTAATAAAACAACCACAGTTTCTTTGTGATCCACAATAAATTAGTGTGAACCAGGTTCATAAGTTCATTTAAGAATTTGTGCCACTCAACAAATTATTTGGAATACATTTGTAGGACTCACCACAACACATGTCACTAATCTATTATTTAAAAAACAAAAAAACTAATCACTAACCCAGTGGTCCCAACCCACCACCCTCTACCTCTAGCAAGCTTAACCCCTGCCGCCAACACCCCCTGCTCCATCTCACCTCATTGTCAAAACCAGCCAAACACCAGCCCACCACTCTCAAGACCGACGACCTCTCCCTTTCCCCACCAACATAGTCCCTTCCTCTTTTCCTCTTCACCAAATACCACCCTAGCCACCCCCCTCCCCTCAAAACCAACGACCTCTCCTTTTCCCCTTCCTAAAAATGGTGATCTCTCCTTTTCCCCCTTCCTAAAACTGGCAACCTATTAACCTTTTCGACCCACCCCAAAAACCACCCTATCTCCCCACCCTTGAAACGACTAGAATTAACCATCAAAATTAATCATTTTGGGATTGTCGTGATCAATTTTGCACGTTTTAAAGGTGAAGGATAAGGCGGGCGAATCTCGGTGGTGAGGTTGGGGAGATTTTGGGGTGGGATAGGGTGGTGATGCTATGTTAGTGGTTAGTTGGGGAGGGTTTCACTAGTGCTAGTGGAAACCTAGGGGTGTCGATGGTGGTGGGGGATGGGATGGGGAGGAGTGCCAACGGTGGGGGTAAGGCTGCGTGTGGTGTGGGTGGTTGCTGGGTTAAGGTTTAGGGTATTTTTCTTTATTTTAAAAAATCAATAGATTAGTGACACGTGTACATGGTGGGCCCCACTAATGGATTTCATCCAAGAATTCGTCAAGTGATGGTGAAACCAATTTTTGGAATTTTTTGTGGTGTTATATTCCATTTATGTTTTTTGTGATATAAGTCAAAATTTCTTCTTTTTTTTAACTGTTTCTTGTTTTTTTTTTTTTTTTTTTTTTTGACAAGTTTCTTGTTAGTAGCTGACACTATTTACATACTACATGGTTACATATATAATTTAATTTAACCATCACTATCTAATTATATAATTCTTGAATTGTTTATGTTAAAGTGGAGTTCATGAGACAATATCCAAATGATGCCCCCCAAAAAACAAAAACCAACTTTAGGGTGGGATATGTTCAATCTCCATTCAAAGGGCGCTTGGATTGAGAGTATTAAATTAAGGGGTAATAAAAGTCAAACCAAACAAAATTAAAGTAAACATAGGAGAGGGAGAGCTAGTGATCATGTGATTGTAAGAAGATTTATATAATGATGGTGTGGTGATAGGTGAAGAAAGGGAACTACTACCCTTATTTTGGGGGTAATAGGTTATACTAGGGGGAGGGTGGGTAACCTAATACCCTCATTTTAAGGGTAATAATTCCTCCTCCCCTCTCTTTTCCTTATGTCACTACAACCTTAATCATTCATAAACACTTTGTCTCCCTATAATAATACCTCTAATCAACTATAATATCTCATTTGACTTTTATTACCCCCCTAATTTATTA